ACATGGCCGCAGCTCCCATGTTATGGAATGGCCTACCAGATACCTTTAAGAAGGCATTAAGATGGAGCTCTTCTGGCGGGCCTATCCATCTGATCTTCTAGACATCTAGATTCTGATGATAATTGGCTATTTTATTTTATTTTATTTTTATTTATTTTTTATATTATATTATATGCTCTTATAATTTATTACTGTTGTTTGATTTCACTATTTTATTGTTTGTATTTTGCATATTGTATTCATTTAATTGTGTAATCCCACCTCGATCCGTAGAGAGAGGCAGGAAATATAAATAAATATTATTATTATTATTATTATTATTATTATTATTATTATTATTATTATAATAAATAATTTACTATAACATAGGTTACAATTCTCCTTCTTGCACCTTTAGATTTAGCTACCCAGACATACTTGCCTGGGAGAAATTCTGCTCAGGATAATTTGTAGTTTGGTTTAACCATAAGATGTAATTTACTAAGTTTGTTCTGCATGTGATTACATTGGCACATGGTCATGTGTTCTTTCTCTGTTGTCATTGCAAACATAATTCTCTAACCACCACCCACCCCACTTTTTAAGATTGTGTGTGTAAAATCTTCTGAATCAGCATGCATTGAAATGGCATCATGCTTAAATCAATCCTTAATGTAAATTAAGGGATGTGGTGACTCTAGTTGTTAAGATGCTGACTCTGTTAATTGCAAGATTGGCAGGTTGGCAGTTTGAAGCCAAGGTGCCGCATGATGGAGTGAGCTCCCATCACTAGTCCCAGTGTCTGCCAACCTAGCAGTTCAAAAGCATGCAAATGCAAGTAAATAAATAGGTATGACTTTGGTGGGAAGGTAAACAGTGTACTATGCAATCATGCTGGCCACATGATCACAGAGTAGTCTCTGACAATGCTGGCTCTTCAATTTAGTAATGGAGATGAGCACTACCTCTATGGTCGGACACGACTTGACAATCTTGTCAATGGGAAATTCCTTTACCCTTAATGTAAATAACCTGTGAGAACTGCAACAAAATATTGCAGTGAGGAGTGCTGTTGTTCATTATTTGAGTCAGTCAGCTATAATAATATCTCCTCTATAATACTCTAGTCTGTTTAATTTCTTCTCCACCTGCTATCCATTCCCTCACCGCTAACAGATTGTCTACGTACAGTGGCAGTTTGATTTTTGTTTTCCTTAATAGTGTTGCTGCACTGAAGCATGGAGGTCTCTTGGGCCACCTTCCTGTTTTGCATGACTGGTTCCATTTTGGCTACATGGGCGACGGTGCTTATACCTAAACACTGAAAATACTGAAAAGGAATAGACTACTATTTAACTCTACACTTATACCTAAGTTTAGGTGCTTATACCTAAACACTGAAAATATAAGGAAAGATCTGGTGACTCATTTTAAGTGCTAGGAGTTCCCTGGGAGTATTCAGAATGGGGGAAATGTCGTGCGCATCTCAACAACAACAACAATCAGAAAGGAGAGGAACAAAACCAGCCAACTAGATGGGTCCACTGTTTTGCACCTGACTCTAGTTGGTGGAAAGCAAATTCTGGATGTTCACCCTCATTCCACCTGACTCCAAAGCCCTCTGAAACAAACAGATTCAAAATTATGCCGCAACAGAATGGCAGGAAAGAAGGGACCAGGTGAACTAGAGAAAAGAAGAGCCAGTGTAGTGTAGTTGTTGAAAGTGTTAGCGTTTGGAAGATTCAGGTCATAGTCCCTACTGGAGAATCTTCAGCCAGTCACTCTCTGTCAGATTGATTCACTTCACATGATTGTTTTGAGGGGAAAAGAGGAATAAAGAAACTCATGTGCACCACTCTAAGCTCCTTAGAGGAAAAGAGAGATCTAAATGTAAATAAATAAATCTCCCAAGTCTGGCTGTAGTGTCTCCTCAAGCATATCTACCTGCATACCCTCCAAAGTTTATATTAAAAATTTTTTTAAATGATTTGACAGTAATACATATTTTCAGTTAGTGAAATTTCCAATCTTGGCTGTGCACTCAAGGTTCTAGCAAGGAATACTTTGTGCATATAACATCTGTATCATGCACAATATTCCCCATGCTTGTATAAGAATTGCCATGGTTACAGAAAATGGCTACTGCATTTAAAAATCCAGATGCAAGGATTTCCATGAGGTGTAAATATATTCTGTCTGCATTCTGAATGGAACACAAGAGGACTGGGAGAAAATATTGCTATAATGTGTGCCAGAATACATAGGTTAATCATATTCCAATGATATTGTGGGCATCAGTCATGTTGTTCTAAATTGACACACCCAGCTAACCCAAAACAGAGATTAAGATAATAGACTTTCTACTTTAGCTGAGCTCAGACTTTCCTAAGCTTTCCTTCAATTTCTGGTGTGCATGAAAGTGGGTTGCTGTTGTTTTTTGCAGGGTAGAGGTAGAGTATGGAAATAGAATGGCTCTTTCTACCTCTTTGCATCTCATAAGGAGACACAAGAGACTGTAGCAACTATAGAACCATAGCACTAATTTCCCATGTAAGCAAAATTATGCTCAAAATACTGCAACATAGACTGCAACCACACATGGAGAGAGAAATCCCAGAGGTCCAAGCAGGGTTCAGGAAAGGAAGAGGCAACAGGGATCACATTGCAAATATATGATGGTTAATTGAGCATAGCAGGAGGTTCCAAAAGAAAATCAGCATGTGCTTTATAGACTATAGCAAAGCTTTTGACTGCACAGATCAGGGGTAGGCAACCTTTCCCCTTTAAGGGCCGAGGGACTTCAGCTCCCAGAAGCCTCAGCCATGTCGGCCAATAGTCCCATGTTGGCCAATAGCTCCTGGGAT